CAGCTCCTGGTTGATAACCTGCTCCAGGTTGATATCCTGCTCCAGGTTGGTAACCTGCTCCTGGCTGATATCCTGTTCCTGGTTGTAAGCCTGCTCCTGGTTGTTGTCCAGCTCCCTGTTGATATCCTGCTGCTGGGTGATATCCTATACCTGGGCCTACCCCGGGTTGTAGTCCAGTACCTGGTTGGACACCTGCTCCTGGTTGAGGACTCACTTGTGGTTGGTAACTTACACCCGGTGGCAAACCTGCACCAGGTAGTAAGCTCGCTCCAGGTTGATATCCTCCAGTTTGTTGATATCCTGTACCTGGTTGTAATTGAGCACCTTGTTGATACCCTACCCCTGGTTGATAACCAGTACCAGGTTGAGCTCCCCGACCTCCAACGACACCTGGTGCATAAATTCCACTAGGTCCAGATGGAATACTAGATACTCCACTTCCAGGTTGCCAATAAGATTCAGTTGGATGAGTTCTTACATCTGGTCCAGTTGGCTGACCTCGTGTAACACCGCCAGGCGGGATACCAGCTTGACCAGATCCAGGTACTTGACCGATTGGACTGGGACCGTAGATTTGAGATCGCGAGGGAACACCTACTCCTGGAGCTTGCACACCACTTGGTTGAGGTCTGCCAACAGTTTGAATACCTGTGGTTCCTGGCGCATAACCGATTCCACTTTGTGGCCTTGACCCCGTAATAGATCCCAAACCGGGGGAATAAGTTTGACCCGAACTTAAATCTAAACCTTGTTGAATACCACTACCAGGCCTTGCACTAATCGTCGTACCTATACCAGGCCCATAAATAGCACTGGGTGGTGCACCACCACCAACTCCACCTCCCGTTTGCACAGGTTGACGGCCTGGTTGCGGTACATATAATCCACCAGTCTGACCGGGTTGTAAACCGCCAGAAACACCTGTGTAAGTTGGCTGTCCGGTTATTTGTGGACCACCTTGTACAAGTGCTCCTGGTCTTTGATCAGCAACTGATCCGCCCACACCTGTCCCGGGTAAACCAGAAGGAAGACCAGCACTGGGAGCATACGCACCACCATGTACAACTTGACCACTAATTTGCTGACCAGGTCTTGTACCTCCTTCTACTCTAGGACCACCAATTTGTCCAGTACCATATCCACTTCCTGGCCTCAAAGCCCCACCAGGCTGCACGCTTTCTGGTTGCCCATAAATTGCTCCCGGTCGCACAATACCTCCTGTTTGAGGTCCTCCACCAGCTCCTGTGACACCAGTTCCGGTTGGTTGAACAATTCCAGGTCCATAAGATGTCCCGGGTCTAGCTCCCGGCCTTATAATCGCACCTGGTTGAACACCAGCACCTGCGCCAGGAGTTGAGGGTGCAGGTCCAATGGGTTGACCACCAACACCAGCTTCGTAGCCACCACCAGGTTGTTGTCCAATACCAGCTATTCCACCAGGTCCAACGGGTTGACCACTAGTGCCAACACCATAACCGGCACTGGGTTGTCGCCCAATACCGCCAACACCTCCAGGTCCAGCGGGCTGACCAGCAATACCAAGACCATAACCGCCACCAGGTTGTCGCCCAATACCTCCAACACCTCCAGGTCCAGTGGGCTGACCGGCAGTACCAACACCATAACCGCCGCTAGGCTGCTGTCCAACACCGCCCACACCTCCAACTCCAACAGGCTGTCCAACAGTACCAACACCATAACCGGCATCGGGCTGATGTCCAGCAGTAGGGCCTCTTACACCTAGACCTCCAGGGCCACTAGTCTGTACGCCACCAGGAGCCGAAACACCCCCTTGCCTTAATGTGCCAGCAACTCCTGGACCACCAATTGTAGCAGTACCTGCACTGCCTGGTATGATTCTTAAAGCATCTGGCCTACCACTACCGCCAATATAAGTGAGGGGATCGGGAGAGCCCGCGGGATATTCTAAATTATGTATGTGGATATATTAAGTAAAGTATTAAGTAACAGTATTGTTACATTTAACTTACCGTAAGTGGGACTTGATGCACAATCACTGCAATCTCCCATTGAGAATTGACTCTGCGCTTGTCCCATACCATGGCTTCCAGCTAAAATTGTACATTTACTCATTTATTTATTAAAATATATATACTTTTTCTGGAGTTCATACAAACTGTTGTTCTAGATCCGTGTTCATTAGCCTCTGCTTCAGCTTTGCCATCCTGTTCTGGTTTGCCAAAATTCAGATACTGAGATTGCGTCTGACCACGCATACTTCAAAGAGAACGTAAAATGATTTACGTGATTTTAATTTAAATATTGACGATGAAACTTACTATCCTCGTCCGCTTCGTTTTGATCTATCCAAATCAAGTTGATCATTATCAACTTCGTAATTCGATTCCGGCACGCTTTCATCTAATGACGCCTGAAACATAAGGGTAAAATTTAGTTTAAAATTATGCTAACACTGGCATATATATCTAATAAATGTAAAGCAAAACTTTACTTTTAAAATAGAACTAAGGACATAATAAAGCTATGCAAGACAGGTCTTAAAGAAGAAAAGATACTTGTTACTATTATATGTGCACAGGTGGCCACGCATAACTTACCACTATTCATGCTTAAATTTTTTCGGACTTTTTTTATTGTTTTTAGTAAGCATAAGTAAATTTAATTATATTATTTAATTATAATTATAGTTTTTAATTTATAA